TAGTGAAGGATGGAGTTAGGCACCGTAGTCGTGGTGCCGGGGTTACAATGCACAGCTGCTAACTGTTCAAGGTCAACAGTGAACCCGTGCTCTGCAAGAGGAAGATGGGCAGTTTGCTGCCACAAAGAATCCTGCCTTGGAAATGCTGGGGGAAAGTTCTGCCCTGGCCTAGAGGGTCGATGTGAGTCGGAATCCACTCGATGGCAATGGATTTGTTTCAGGAGTAGGAGAACAGGCAAACGTGACCACAGTAAGGTCCCGGGAAACAGCTGGAAGCGTTCTTTGCGTTTCAGCAGTCAGGAGTGCCCCCTGGTGGCCCTCGCACAGACAGGCGTTTGCGATGACAGCCTCAGAATAAGGTGAGTCTCGGCCAGGTGAAGCTCCCACCTCCGAGGATAGGTAATCACTCCTTTGAACCAGAAAGATTCAACCTATCCACACATGGCAAAGATCAGGGAGCGGGAGGCGAAATAGCTTGTCCTTGTACTAAGTCACAAGTGCACCCTGAGCCGTCTTTCCCTCCGACACACACTGCTCCACCCCCACTGCCCCCGAGTCCAGTGTGCGCTGACTCAGTGCTCAGCTAAGGGTTTCTGAGACTCACTGTCACAGAGGAGAAAGCCCAGTCTTGCTCCCTCGGGGTTGCTGGCGGTTTCAAACTGCCGACCACGAGGACTGCAGTCCCGCACATCGCCACACCACCACCACAGCTCCTTACTTAGAGATTTTTAATCTTTTCATTTAGGCCTCCTTTCTTGAAGAACTATCATCTTAATGCTAATATCACTCACAAGCGATTTATGACGTGGCCTCTCTTGCCTCCGTTCAGAAAATTACCTGCTGTGTTTCCAGTGCTGCTCTTACCTACGGGGACCTCGATACAGAGTACACACGAGAAAGAAAAACTCTGTCTTTGAGATCAAATCCTAGTGGGGGAGAAAAAAGTAACAAATAAGACGAAGGCAACTTCAGAAAGCAAGCCCCATGAAGACATTCAAGCACAGCAGATGGGTAGGGAGGGTGGGGGTGAAGATGGGAAGACTGTTTTTGAAAGAGTGGCCAGGACCACCTTTCTCAAGTACTGACATGTGAGCAGAGCCGGAGGATTAGGGAACGTGCCCCCGGAAGAGGCCGCAGTTTGTGGAAAGGAACCAGGGCAAAAATAGATGTATTAGGACATTTGTGGGAAGTCTTTTCCTGCATGCTTCTACTTTCCCTGTGAAAGGAGAAGCAAGAGTGTGAGCCAGGAACGTGGGGGAAGGGGGGTGTCGCAGGCACCAAGAAAGAGAAAATAAGAACAAAGGAGTGTACCCCGTTGTCTGGGGTCACGTGGACCCAGAGTCACCTGGCACACAGGAGCTTGGTGTGTTGTTCTGTCTGGTTTGACATTTACAAGAGAATGGCAATTAAGTATGTGACTGAGAAAGAAACAATCATGGGAAATCTTTTTTTCTTTTCTTTTAAGAATGAAATATTTTAAACATTTCGAACACCCCAAGGGATTTTGCTGACCCTTCCATCAATGCCAGCAGTTTGTTTCAGAGAGGAGCTGCAGGCCTCTCGGCACCCCCCCATTTCCTTCCTCCCCGTTCGCACTTGCAGGATAGAGAGAGGGGAAGAAAGCCGTCCCTCCTTTTCCTGCCCCCTCCCCTGCAGCTCTGATCAGCCACAGGGTGCTGTGAAGCTGTACCTGTGATCGGGGTTGTCAGGGAGACCGCCACAGGAAGTCGAGAAGATGCAGCCAGGACGCTGATGCTGTAGTTGGTCCCCGGATGCAGGTCCAAGCACACCTCGGGCGCCTGGCTGCTGGTAGTGACATTAAAGACCATTTCCTGAGCAAATTCCTTCTGATACCATCTCTGGCCCTGAATGTGGAACTGAAACAGAAAAAAATTTAAAAATTAAAAAGCTTACAGTGTGAATCGCTGGCCTTAGAAAAGGTTCTGAACGCCTGGATCCGGCCCAGTCTCACAGCCACCATCCCTTCTTGACTCCAGTTTCCTCAGACAGGGAAGAACAACATTAAGCGAATTTGAGCGCTGTCACAACATCCATATTGTCGTTAGGATATTGTCCATGCAGCAAGCCCATTCTTAAATCAACGTGCACAAAAGGCTCTCTTGTCCGCACATGCACAGCGCACAGGCCTCAAGAGAAAACCCGTTAGCAAAACT